CCCCCCCCCCCCCCCCCCCCCCCCCCCCCCCTTCCTCGTATCTGTGCCATTAAAGCACTGCCCCTACACAAGACTCTGTCTCTGCTTTCGGCAGCCGCGGTCGAGGCACGGTTCTCGGCGGCACAATGCAGCAGAACTCGTGCATATGGTCGCGAGTCAGATTTACATCACATTAGGGATACGGCGACAGGTCATGTGGGCCGTGTGGTTAACGGGCTTAGTAAAGCTGTTTTGAAGAGGTTAACCCAGCTTGTAGTAAGGGTAAATAAACATAACAACCGGGCATTGTCCTCTATTCAGCATGTACTCTTATATGGAGGGCTAAAGGGTATTGAAGCTGCAGAGGATCAACTTGTGGTTGCCAGAGGACTCCAATGAAGTTTGAAACACCAACAATCAGAGATTTTGTTTCTGTTCCTCATTAAATCATGAGCTTTTGTGCTCAGACTATGAACGACTGTTCTTTAAGAAATTAACAGAATGGGAAGTTTTAAACTATGCACCAACCTTTTCATGACCTACACAGCAGCAATGCTGCTGCACTTAGACAAACACCGCGGGGAAGGCTGTTCTGTTTATTTAAATTTGTAAATAGAAAACAGTTGTTTTTGGGTCTCATTCCTCGCCGCCTCCATGGCCGTTTTACGCAGGGAGTCACAGCACCTTCTCCCTCCCATCTGCTCTCTTCTCGTGCTTCCCGCACCTCGAGCAGCACTTTTTGAACGCTTTGCTTAGTTCTGATGGAGAGGAGAGGAAGGGAAAAAGAAAAAAGAAATAAGGAGAACAGAATCCAGCCTCAACCCAACACACCGTGCGGCTCAGCCAAGCCCCAGCATTGGGGTACGTACGAGATGACCCCAGGGTCTGAGTGGCACAGGGCGAGCTGTCCTGCTGCAGGGTGACTCATCCCAATGGTGTGGGGTGACCTGTCTCAGAGCAGGGTGAGCTGTCCCCATGGCACGGGAACCCCCAGGCTAATCAGATGAACGCAGGACTACCTTCCCAGATTGTATCTTGTAGCCCCCCCCAGCCCTAGCCCTGTGAGTCCCTTTGTTATTAATTCTTGGATGACTAAATTACGGGTAGCGCTGTTAAAACATTATCGGGACTAATGAGAAACAATTACTTAGGAGATGATCTGGGACAGGCAGGGCCAGGCGCATTTCTTGCTCTCCCCACAGATTACGTCTGTAAATCATCAGGTGCAGGGCAGCATGGGGGCGAGGCCTGGCACAGGGAAAGCAAAATAAGATACAGGGTCGGGATCTTTTTTTTTTTTTCCTTTCGCATAATTTTTTCATTAATCTCAATAGGACCCGTGTGGCATAGATTGTTTTATTCCCTCTGTGCCGTGTCGGGAAGGGGAGTGGATTCCCCCATAACTCCTGCATTGTCTCTGCAGCCCCAGGGGTCCCGGCAGACCCTGGCCCCAAAAACTTCATTCCAGAGGAATAGAGGACCCAATTCCATGCCTTCACTCCAGCACTGGGGCACTTCCATTTCCCCCAAAGTCCCTCAGATCCCCTCCAGCAGAGAGTCCCGCGTTCATTTCCCAGCCCTAACGAGCTGCGCTTTATAACAAATAAAATCCCATTTATTTGTTTCTCAGTTTACTTTTGGGAGCGCTACGTGCTTCCCAGCTTTATTCTGTCCCTCTTTCTTCCCTTCTCTTTCCCTCTCCTTCTCTCCCGCCCGGTGCCAGGCAGGCAATTGATGAAACAAAACAGATTATAAGATTAGCAGCGGGATTTTGTGCATATTAATGATAGGGAAGGGCACCGAATGGGTTTGTAATTGCAGATCTCGCGCTCGGGATTGGGAACTGTAGCCCTGCTGCAGCAAAGACCCCCCTGTGAGGTTTTCACATTGGAACTTAGGGGAAAAGTGAAAAAGTAATTACCAGAGCACAACATTGAAATGTTAAAGCACTTATTCTTTCTTTCAGTGTTCTGTTTTAAAGGGGGAAAACGGGCAAAATGGAAAATAAATTACTTTCAAATAAGTAGGTTAGCACCTGAATGCTAGTGTGCATTTTCCCTTCTGCTGTTGCTTCTTTTTTTCTCTCTCCGTTCCTTTCCTTTCCTTTCCTTTTTTTTTTTTTAATCAGATTCTAGCAATTATTGAGCAGGACGCTGCTCAAGCCGCCATCCGGGAGGCAGCACAGGGAGAGGGCAGGGGCATGGCGGCGGGGGCAAAGCAGCAGTCAAGGGCTCTTCAAAGCCGCGCTTGGAAATTTAGAGGGTTTTTTAAATACATCTTTTTTCTCCTTCGGTTTTGTTTTGAAATCGGGGCTTGAAAGGAAAAGATTGTTTTGGTTTCCTCTCCAACATCGGCATCAAACGGCGCTGTGGCAGGGATGCGTTTCCCAGTGCAGTCCCTCGCCGCTCTCGCACAGCACCGAGCAGTGCCCGACCCCGGGCTGTGCCTCCTCCTAGGGTCCCGGGGACAACCTCACCTTCCCGGGGCAGATCTCCCAGCTCTGCGGTCCGCACTCTCTCCCCACCGCCACCTCACGTTGCACACACGCCCTGCTGCAATTCCGCCGCCAACGGAAATCGATGAACCCAGGAGAAATGGGCTCTGAAAACTTTTTGTCTGGGTGACAAAAAAAGGGAGTACCTGCACCTAGGCGGCAATTCCTTATTTTTAAAAGGGAGGGAGGGGAAAAAAAATGAAAAGCAAGCACAGCTTTGGGCACATTTCATCCATTCTCTGGCTATTTTGGAGAACCATGCAGTCCGGGTCATCGGCTCCTGTTCTAAAGAGCAGGATGGGGGTAAACCTGTGGGGTGAGTCATTGCCTTGTTTTCTGTTTCTCCTCAAGCCCCTTTCACCTCCCAGCCCTGAGTGTCCCTCCCTAGGCAGAAGGGACTCCACTCCCCACGCTACAGAAGTGGGTGCCCTAGCAGGGAGATCAGCATCCCACTGTGCTCCGGGGCTGCCGCTTCCCAGCACAGGGCTGATACTCCCAAATCTGCTCTGCAAACCGATGCTGGATCTCACACTTCTGATTTTGTTCCTATTTCAGCTATCAAAAATCCCCGCTGCTGTAACACTCTGTTGGAGGGGTGGAAAGGAAGGATAATAAATTTTTTTTTAATTGCTTCCCCGGCTATAAATTGTCATGCATTGGGCTATTTTTTTTTCCTTGAACAAAAGCACAATTGACAGTGGGGCTTAGGGAAAAACAAGAGGGGGCTTCGAGCCCCACGGCTCCCCTGTGCATTGAACCTGAGCCAGGGGGGTGGCTGTGCCCAGAAGTTGAAGGACACCGAGAGCCGCAACACAACAATAGGGATTTTTATGTCTCACCAACTGTTTTTGCAGCTGCATCTTGCCCCCTCCTCCTCTCCTCTCCCCCCATTATTCCATGTGAGAATCAAGTACAAAAATAGGAACCGTGCTCTCCTTCCGTCCTGAGCAAGTGTGCATAAATCCAGACACCGCAGAGGTCTGGAGCTGGTTGTTACCAGCAAGGGCTACAGGCAAACACAGTGCTTGTTTCGTGCTTCAGTACTGCATTTTGCTCTTCTTGTCATGGATAGGAGGACATACCCAAAGCGCGCTGCTGGCATGCCTGGTTGCAGTGCTGGCCCCCACAACCACACCTCTCTGTTTCCCAGCATCCCCTCCATGCATGCACCTGGACATCCCAAATATCCCAGCAAAGCCCCTCTTCTTACACACCACAAGCAGAGGCTGAGGGATGGGGATGGATGCCTGTTCACCCATCCCCTCCAGTGGGGCTGTGCTGGGCAGAAGGGCAGGCAGAGCTCAGCTGACTCTGTAGTGGGTGAAAATACAAACACCTGAACTATTTGTAAAACAAACCAGCAAAATTTAAAAAAAAAAAAAAAAACAAAAAAAAAAACATCCCTTTGAAGACCAGTTGCACTAAAGTCACTAAAGAAAAGAAACAAGTTTTCTTTGAAGCAGGCTAGGTCAGCATCTGACACAGAGCCTTGATGAGGGAGTTGAACTAGGCAAGCCCCATGGTATGTTCTTGCCTTATGTTTTGGTGATGCTCTGTCTCCCGAGCCTCTGCCCTCACTGCCTCAAGGAGCAGTGGGCACAGGATCCTCACCCACCCTTAGGCAGCCCCAGCAGGTGCTGCAGCCACAGTGGGCAGCTGCCTCTTGGTGGCAGGCACAGGATTCACCTGTTCAGTTTGGCAGAAACGCAGCCATGAGTCTTTTCACTTTAAGGCACGCTCCTCTTACTGGGCTTAAGTTTATGACAGTATTTATATCCTTTACAACTCTTTTTTTTCTTTCAGTTTGTATTGTACTTTATAACAAATCCACTCCAGATGCATCATCACTGCATGCAGCATGCAACTATGCAGCATAGGAAGCAAATCATTCCTTTCTCACTGTGGTGTGGAACAGAGCATTTGCAAAAAGCATCCAAACTCTGCCATTCAGTTCAATTTCAGACTAAAGTCCTGCCCTGGTATCATTTTGGATGATTTTTAATCAGGCATATTCTCTGCTATTGCTCTTACATAAAACACCTTGCTGGCTGAACCGTGAAATGCTGCGAAGGCACCGACTGAAACAAAAAGACATCGTCTGAACTGAAATGTGTCCCATCCCCAAACAGCATCCTGAGCATCCAGGTGGTAAGGGACGTTTTTCAGCCACGTGCAAACTGTGAACCATATTTGAAATTAAGTCTCTGTATTAAAATCGGCATCTCTGAGCCTCCCGCTGGCAGCCGCTGCTGCTCAGCACGGTGACATCTTCCCTGGCACCGGCGGGCTGGGAGCTCGCGCAGACGTCACCAAGCAATTTCCTACTGCTCTGCAGATATCAGGGCTTTACAGCGACATGTGCCAAGGAAGTACAAGGAGTGCAAGGTGATGGGGGGAGTGGGGA